TCACGGATGTGTTGTTCAGCATCCGGTCCGAATAGATGTATTTCGGTCAACAGCTGGTTCCACAAAACCAACAGTTCTTGTTTCTTATTCTCAGTCTGCGTCCGAGTCCTAGCCTCAAACGGTCCATCGCCCACGGAGAGCGTTATCGGAATAGAAAACAAGAATGTGTTCACAAACCTCGTAAGAATAAACTTTTGCAAACATTTTCAGAAGTGAGACATTTTCGGAGGACAGAAACAAGAAAATTCGTCGGCCAGGTTAGTCTACCGAAAAATAAATAAAAGAGACAATAATTTAATGGTTACCCGAACCAAATTCACACTATCTGAACAGAAAAATTTAATAACCAGGAACAATTTTTTTTTACTAATTCTAATCGCTGTTGTATTTTTTCAATGTGATGACGTTCTATTCTATTTCAGGTACCGCGACTCAGGCCAGCATGATCATCAACACACACAAGTATACAGGCACACAACACAGCACAAGACAACAGGTAAGTCCGCCAACAAAATCACAACAATAGTTAGTGCTCCTCCCCTGCTGCTGCTTCTTTTTCGGTCCTGTGTGATCATCACCCAATCTGACGTATGCCACCACAGCCACGTCAGTCTTCAAGTCGTGCCGCTTCAGTCATCAGAATGCAACTCTTACTTAGGCACAACTGTGCCTGCCACGTGTCACCCTGGCACGCCAACTCAGCAACCCGAAGAGTGCCATGTCAGCATGTCCAGCCAAAGTCGTCAATGGGGTGCACGTCAACAATGTGCGTCGATATCGTCGTCCAATTAAGTCACGTTCCTGCCTGCCACGTGTATCCCCTAGTGTGCCAACACAACAGCGCTTGAGTCTGCCACATCAGCACTATAGTCCAATCAGCATAATCACGTCAGGAGCAATACCAGCGCGTCGTACAATGCCACGTCAGCCACGTAATGGAGCGCCACATCAGACAAAGCCACATCAGCCTGAAGCTACTCACCACAATAGACGAGTGGTGAGTCATCAATGCCACATCAGCACTCCTCCACAACCACTGGCCACGTCAGCAATGCAACCTGATCGCGGATGCGATCGACCGGGATCTAGATGGCAGCGCTATCCCTGGAGTTTCCCCTGTCGGGATACCAATGCCACGTCAGCACCTGACGTGCACAATTCCAATCTTATCCACGTCAGCTCCTTGGTTGTAGGTATCACCACTTCTTTGTTGTCGTTTTGTACAGGTCGTCGTCATCAGTCACATCATCGGAAGTACAGCTCTGATACCAATTTGCAATGAACCCAGATCGTGAAGACACTTGTCAACAATGCAAGCCCAGATAGATATCAACCTGCTGATGATTGTCAATAATCATAATCGTGTCCAAATAGAATGAGATGGGGAAACATACACAGGCGAAAGAGAGAGAAGGGAGAATAGACTTAGAGTGGAGAAGAAAACAATACCCACTTCTGCTTCGGACTCCCTCCTCGATTGCCACCTCAATAATCAATTGTCCGAACACAAATCTGAAGTTCTATCTCAATGGGCGAGGCGCGGCCGGGAGCGCTGCGCCCTGCCGGTACGATTCTGCGGGTGCGCTGCGGAGGAGTTAGGCGATATGGCGGGTGGTGGTGCGAGGCACAGGATGGCAAGGTGCGGCGACGAGTGGGGATGACGGCAGCCTGGTCTGTTGGGGCAGTGGTGTTGCAAAGTGGTGGGAGCGAGCGGGGCGTGGTGATGGCGAGGGCGATGCGGGTAAGGGTGGTAGGGTGTGGGCTGTGGATGCGCTGCTAGGTCGTGATAGGGGGTTCAGGACTGCCAAGTACTGAGGTGTGCGTTTCCCCCGTGACAGGGCTCCGTGGGCACAGCTGGGAGGAAAGAGTACTGCAAGCATGGTGAGGGTGGTGGAGCTTTGGACGACGACATCCCTCCATCCCTCCGGACTAACCTGCAGGGGGCGGCTGGCAGGTTCAGCGGTCGGGCTCGGAACGTGGTTTTGCCACGGTCCGTTCTATCTTCGTCGACTGGCTTTTGAGGATGGTCGAGTGAGTGTTGACTACAAGGTGGCCAGTTTTGCTCGCAAAGACAATGAAGGTGGAGGTGGGGTTTGGAGGGGGGAGGGGTTGTTTGCGAAGTGTTGGGACTTGGGGTGCTCTTTCTCCAGCTATGGTTTTGTCTTCCTAAGATGTTTGTCCTGATCAAGTAGATTTTGTCTGATAGGTTTTTGCTCCAAAAATCGATCCGGTTAAACCGTGCTCTTCTGGTTATATCTGCTAAATGATGCTCCTATCTGATTAGTTAAATGCGAATTTTATCTTCGCGTCTCTTCTTAAATTCCAAATACAATTGCCAATTCTTAAATCGAATACAATTGCAAATTCGACGACGTAAATCAGACTCGCTTCTGATAGATTCGCAATTCTGAATGCTTTACCAATATAAGTTCTATGATTGACTCTTCTAAAATCCAAATCCTGTTCAGCACCATCATTGTTGACTGACTTCTTAATTTCTATTCCTCAATTCCTAGGTTCTGTGGGCCTCCGTGATGGTCTCCAAATTTTTGGCTAACATCTAGTTCTAAAAACTGGTTGGTGAACCCAACCTCCTGCGTGTTGTGACAGGCTAAATTCTTGTCTATTAAAGTTCTGGGAGAGTTCAGTGCCATCGAACCTGAAATCCGGGTTGAGGTGATGCTTGGCTGTTCAGTTGATGCTGTGCTACCTGCCTTCCACTCCTTTGTTTTCGGATGGCCGAGTTGGAACGCTGCTGGTCGGAGCTGAGGGTTAGGTCGTGCTGCCCTCTAACTCGAGCGTGACGAGGGCTCTGGAGGCCTGGTAAGAGGTCCAAGGAACTGCCTAAGGGGGGCGGTGGTTCTGTGGCTGTTTGGGGCTGGTATCAAGACGACGGCGGGTCGGAGCCGAGGTGGGTCGTTCCACCCTGTAACCCAACAGATGGGAGTTTTTCTGAGGTAGGTCGCGCTACCTCGTCACCTAGCAGATGGGGGTGTGAGGCTTGAAGAGTCTTGATACTGAGGAGGGAGGTCGATGCCGGTTTGAGGTTGGATAGTCGAGTGTCAACCTACCTGGGTTTTGGTTTCATTGCTTCCTCTCTGAAAGATGCCTTTATAGCGTTCAGATTTTGCTACTACTTATTACTACCCTTTGTGAGTGGACTTCTTCTATTCCTCTTCTTCGAACTATGTGGTGGAGGAGGTCGGCTCGTCGAAGGAAGACAAATAGTAGAAGTCTACCCTCAACCACTATGGGACTGGGTAGGTTGTTTGTCTACTGTCCGTATCTTCCGAACTATGTGGTGGAGGAGGTCGGCTCGTCGAAAGATGATGAAGAGTAGGGGGTAAGTGGGAGGGACCTCTGATGACCTCTGTGTAGGCTGTTCTTGCTCCATCCCGCGAACTATGTGGCGGAGGAGGTCGGCTCGTCGCGAGATGGAAAAGACTGCTGCGTGCTGCCGCTCTTTGTGAGACCCTGTGGATTCATCTTCTGCTGCTGTTTCTTCATCCGGCGAACTATGTGGTGGAGGAGGTCGGCTCGTCGCTGGAAGAAGAAGGCAGTAGAGAGAGTTTGCAAGGATGTGCGATGGCCTAGTATGGGTGGATATTACGCGTCCTACTAGTGAGGGGGCTAGCTAGTAGGATAGGAATAGGGCACAGCTAAGTCTTACTGGAGTGGGGTAAAGAGGTTGAGGAGGTTCAATGAGTGGTTGGTCAAAGGTCTGTAGTATACGCAGGTTTCCATAAATTCCTTGACGTTTTTCCAAAAAAAGTTTTCTGAAGGTAAAAAAAAAAAAAAAAAAAAAAAAAGTTCTATCTCAATGTGCCATGTGGCACGTCAACCTGTCATCATAGGCGAGCTGGAGCAATATCGACATCGAGAGACCAGGTACGTATCTACAATCGCCCCACAGTCTTGATCTCCATCCGAGTGACGATGAATCAGAACAGCAATATCAGTCACGTAGCCCCGCCACGTCAGCAAGAGTACATGTGGCAGCACCCACGTCAGCGGCGGCGCGTAGCAGCTGCCATGTCAGCATGCCCAGAAGACAATTGCCAGCCAGCCACCATGCCGAGCCAGCAGTGCGTCGCCGCAGTCGCTCAGGTGCCAGCGTAGAGCCAGCACCCAGCCAGTATCGCAGCGTTGCACTGGCGTCGAAGTCAACGCGTGAAGTCAGCATTGACGCAAGACAGAATTCTCCCAGCCAGGTAGTCCAGGCTTATGTAGCGTTGACGCGGGGTCTGGACCCCGGTTGCTGCTTCCCTCAGCCGTCGAGATCTCAAGACAAATGGCGGCTCAGATTTGCCTGAAACCGAACTCCCTGTGGCCTTGATGCTGTCCGGGTACCTGCACACAACAAGTGAATGTATCCGGCCAAGGGCCTGGGCGTGGTACCTTTGACAGTTGACTTAGACTTTTGAATTTCGGTAGTGCGTGGTCACACTGCCTGGCGCAGGCCGAGTTTGGCCTGCGTCGTCTGGGCTCTGTTTTGAGGGCCCAGACTGCTGCACAACACGGGTTACTGCATTCAATTAAGGAATAATAACACCTGGGGGTTGTCAACGAATAAAACACCCAGCAGTCGTTATATTCATAGTATTTTTGTACATAATACCCACGCAATGTTTTTGGGTCAATACAGTACTGATTACTCTTCCTGGGTGAGCGATGCCATGCCATGTGGAGTACAAAGAGATCTTCCAAGTCAGCTTTCCAACATTCATGGAACACTTCGCTGAACAAATGACCATATCAAAATGTGAGGGCAGTATTATGAGGGAGAACACAGCAACTCGAATACACATAACAGTCATGTCAGGAATAAAAAAGGCGAGAAAAAACAGAAATAAAATATACTCCTGCATGTCATTCGGCGAGTAAATAACGAGGAATTCAATGAATAACAATTTGAAAGAAACACATCACAACACCTAGGCAGTTCATCCTTCATCCAGAGTGTGGGGCAGAATACGTGTTGAAAAAGATAGGAGTGCCAGGGACACAACCTTTTTTTGTTGGACTCTCACCGCCTTCAGTGGGGCAGTTCCTAAGTTGTGCAGTGGATGGGCCTAGGCATTGAGAAAAGACATGGCGTCAACACAAGGTAGAGAAGAAGTTTGCCTTAACTTGTAAACCGGCACAAATATTGCTCCAGAAGCTCTAGCCACAACAGGAAAATCCACGAGTCACCAGCATCACCACCACTGCTCTTCTACCGCAGACCGAAACCATTTCTACACTTCTGCGGAGGCCAGTTGAACACAGAACACCGCCAAAATATTCAAAGTAGCAACCTGTGAAAATAGAAATCATATGATGTCATGGGAATGATCCCTCAACCTAAATGAATTCATCAATAACGAACACTCTGCAATGTAGTTGTCACGCAGAAGGCATTCAGTAAGCGTTCAGTCAGTAAGCATTCATTAAGCATGGACTGAGCATTCGGTGAGCAGTCAGTCAGCATTCGGTCAGCATTCAGTGAGCACAGTGAAAATTCAGTGAGCTTGCAGTAAGCATTCAGTGTGCATTGCAATTAGTGAGGATTCAGTAAGTATTCACATTCAGTGAGCTCTCAGTGAGCGTTGTGTAAGCATTCAGTTCACCGTGCAGGGAGGATTCACTAAGCGTCCACAAACAAACACCCTCCATAACACACCAGTCTTCGTTCGTGATCACACCAATGTACTAAATTTGCCCATGCGACCACCTGCTGCTCATACTGCTGCTGATTCCACTGCTGGCACCGCTTCCGCCGGTGCTAAAGATGTATGTTGAGGAGCATAATTTGGGATCACGCCGTTGTCCCTCAGTGAACTCTATTCTCTGGTCTGGTCCGATCCGATGGAACTTCCCAACGCTTCCATAACATACATCTTTGCTCATGTGCCCTCAGTGTGCTCAAGGTGCCCAGCATTGGGTGACTGTTGCTGCTGTTGCTGCTGCCGGTGATGCCCTGCTGCTGCTACAGGTGTCACTACTGAATGTGTGTTGGAACATGCTTTGGGACTGGACTGTTGTCCTCAACGAACTCAATGTGATGATTCGGTGGAACCTCCCACGGCTTCCATTCTGCCATTTTCGGAATCAGAGTCATTTCGTCTTTGGCTTGCCAGATCAGCTCCTCCACTTGCCCGCAGCCAATGCGCTTTTCGATTTTCTCCCAATCTTCCTCTTCCTCGCACACACGAAGTCGATACCTTGCGACTTTCTCCACATCTTGCCTGTACTTGGCTTGTTCTGGGATCACCTGCACTTGCCTTAGCATGTCATTATACAGATTAATCAAGACTTCTCTAGCATTCGGCACTACTTCGAATCCGACAATATTTGTGGCCTCCTTAACTCTTGCGAGCAGCGGCCGACTGAAACGTGCAAGAAACATGGCTGCTGCTACACGCTAGGGTGAGATAGGACGCGCAGCAACCCTCCTTTGCCTGCAGACCTTTCCTCCCTACCTCTCTCAAGTGGTGCGAGTCTGGGCCTGACAGACAATACAAGGGCAAACCGAAGAAGCAAACACGACCAAATCAGAACACTACCTCGCCAAAAGGTCTCGGAGTTATCCCATTAACGTACAAACCTAATCGGTTGAGAACCAACAAAATTAGTCTTCCATAAGCTGAACCTCGTACCACCTCTTGAACAACGTGAACGGGGGATCTGTGATGGGCAGATTCAGATAGATGTGGTTCATGGGATGGAGTTTACGGGATGAAGTTGACGGGATGTAGCCGTTCGGATAGACGGGATGGGATGGATGGATTCGGATAAATAGCAAGGGAGGTGATTGGGTTGATGGGATGAACGTTTAGAAAGATGGGATTGGAACGGGATGGGATGAGCTCGTTTGGACTGGAACTAGTACGAAAGATGAATGGGATTCATGGGAAGGGATGGGACGGATGCAATAGGATCGGACGGATGAAAGGAAAGGATTAGGTTGATGGGATGGGGGGATTAAATGGACGGCACGGGAGTGATGGGGGCGAACGGAAAGGGATTCGGGGGGGGATGGAATGAAATGGGATCGGATGGGATGGATTGGGATGGAGTCGGGTGGGGGGGGATTTGGGGGGACGGAGGGATAGATAACATAAAATGGACTGGAATGGGACAAATATATGGGATTCGAAGGGATTGGATGGGAGGGCGGAATGGATTGCGATGGATGAATGGATGGATGAATGCAAGAACGGAGGGAGGGAGGGAGGAAGAGAGGGAGGAAGGGACAGAGGGACAGAGGGAGGGACAGAGGGACGGAGGGAGATAGCTGACATCCTTATCGGGTCAACGTCAGACCTAGGCAGTCATTTCTGCCCAAGCACTGCCTATCCTGTAACTTACATGGTGACTTCTAATTATCTTTTTCATTTTAGCACTTTTCATTCCCATCATTTTATAGAGTATCGACCAGCCAACGCACCGCTTCTCACATATTAGGAAGGGAAGGGGGGGTAGGGAAGGGGGGGTAGGGCAGGCGAAGGAAGGAAGGAAGGAAAGCAATGCAGAGCTTCTCACATAATAGGAAAGGAGGGGAAGGAAGAAAGGAAGAAAAACAGAAGAGGAACAAAAACAATCCCCACGGAGTCGTAGGAGAGGAGAAGCAAACAAGTAGGCTAACACAGAACAGCAACCTCAGACTCGTTGACTTCCGACTCCACTAAACAATGGAAGGATACAGTCGAAGTCAGTTGAAACAGTGGGTAAACAGTACGCAAGCAAGCCGTTATAACACCAGATAATTGAGGACACACAAAAAGATGCAGCAGCAGCACCTTCAGTATAAGGAGCACGAGGAGGAAGAGGAGGAAGAGGAGGATCAACAAGAAAGGCAGTAAGGGAGGAAGGGAGGGATGGAGGGAGGGAAAGAAGAAAGGCCTCCAGAAAAGGACGAGTAAGAGGAGGATCAGCAAGGAAGGCAGCAGGGAGGGAGCGAGGGAGGGAAAGAAGAAACCCAGCAAGGGAAGGAATTGAGGGAGAAAGAGCATAAACGGTGATAAACTGAGGAAATGGCGAGAATGCAGTAACCTGGCCGTAGTCTGTGGCTACAGGACTGTGGTGTCTGCGCCGACGCCTGAGTGATGATGCATCATTGATGGTGACGAGCATGTAGCCGGGAACACCTGCCGCCGAGTATCGTGCTGGGGTGGGGTGTACTACTCATCAAGGAGCTCCACTTTCATCCCAGCCCACTTAACCTATTGGTTAGGTGTGTCCGTTTGGCAAGCAGAAGCTTGTGTTCGAATCCAGTAGTGTGCTGGGGTCTGGTGAACTACTCGTCAAGGGGCTTGCTTCAATTTCACCCCGGCCAATTTGGATGGATGTCTGAGTGGTCGCTTGCCAATCTGAAGGTTGCATGTCCGAATCCAACAGTGTGCTGGGGTCTTAGGAGTTACTCATCAAGGGGCTTGCTTCACTTTCACCCCAGCCCACTTAGCCTATTGGTTAAATGTTTCCACGTGGCAAGCGGAAGGTTGCATGTTCGATTCTCGGACTGAACAGTGTGGCTGCTCTACCTCTACTGAGGAAACGGAAAAGAAAGGAGAAGAGAGGCTGGAAAAGGCATGTAGGAAGAGGCAGGGAGGAAGGGAGCCTGCGGCAGGCCGCCACCCAGGCAGTTCGGCATGCACACACATCAGAGGTATGCAGATGAGATGTTGGAGTAAGTCAGCCCTTATCCGTTAACCTCATCTAATCCCGTTAAACTCCGCTAGCGATCACTACTTAATCAATACTGCAGGAATACGCGATGCCCGCTCTTAACAATCACAACCATTTTCGAACTGAAAGTTACGTGCCGACGTATCGGGACACCATGGACGTTAAAATTCGAGCGACACAGAAACGCCCTGTGCTTTTAAGAATGCCAGTGCTTTCAAGGATGACACGCCCAAATTGAAAACGGTTCCAAACTAATCGGGACGGGGGAAGGGGGAAGGGGGAAGGGAGAGGGGGGACGCGTGAGGGGGCAGAAAGCTATTATCGATCTCAATAACTCCACGACGGTGGCCACATCGTGATCGAGACAAATCTGCGAGAGGATAATCCTTGTTGACGACCACAGATAAGGAAGATGCGCGAAAAGTCGCGACCGGATAACTGATAAATAACCAATCAAGAGAAAAAAGGATATTTGACGGATAAGGTGGGAAGAAGAAAACGCGATAAGAGATAGATTGTTGAAGTATAAGAAGGGTATCTCCCGTCCTCCGGGACATCCGTTAAAATTGTAACGTTACAGAGATTTAGCATGGGGCCCTGAGCAAGGATGACACGCATAAATCGAGAAATGGTCCAAATTAAAATTAAAAAAAAAGGGTGTCTCTCTGCGTGTGCGTTGTCATGTTCGCTACTCACAACTCCACAAAGAAGGCATGGCTGTACTAGACTGCTTCATCGGACTTTGCCCGACTCGTCAGGAGGCTATGTGTGTGTGTGCGTGTGCGTGTGCGTGCGCGTGTGCGTGTGCGTGCGCGCGTGCGCGTGCGCGTGCGTGTGCGTGTGTGCATCTGTGCGTGTGCGTGTAAGAGTGTGTGTGCGTGCACGCGCTCGCGTGTTACAGAGACTGACTGGGTAGAAGGGGGAGAGAAGAAAACGTAGTAATGCCATCATGAATGCATGGGATGCCGATTTCCGGTAAGATGCATAATTACAATAGTGCGACGCGTTCTAGTTGGAAAGACCGGGCTGTTCGGCGAAAAGGCGGAGGGTTGAAGGCTAAAGGATTTCACGAGAAGAACGCTCGTGCTGTTCCCCTGAACGACGGTTATATCACTTGACAAAGTCGATACGACACAACAAGGCTATAGCACCTAACCTAGGCTATAGTATTTAACGAAGGCTATAGAAGCACATAGAAAAGGCTATAGCACATACCAAACACTGTAGCACTTAACGATGGCTATACCACTTCACGAAGAAGAGCGCCACCATGAGCGTTCTTCTACAATAATCTTCGCGCGCCGCACACACACACTGTAATTGTGAGCCGTAAGCTTATTGTCGCTGCACTTTGCCAAACGTGCGCTGAAGTGGAGAGGCAACCACAACCATAGTATGGTATGTGCTATACCCTTGGTGCGGCTAAGTAGAGAGGCAACCACAACCATAGTATAGTATGTGCTATAGCTTTGGTGTGAATAAGTGGAGAGGCAACCATAGCCATAGTATAGTATGTGCTATAGCCTTTGCGCGGCTAAGTGGAAAGGCAACCACAGTATAGCTTTCGTGCCGCGAAGTGGAGAGGCAACCTTAGTATACATACTGTAATTCTAAGATTAGAGTTCATCGTCAAGGGGACAAACAACGAGAACTACGAGTGGTGAAACTGCATAGCGGGCCCGTTCAAAAGAAAAAGAAACAGAAAAATGGATAAAAGGAATATGTAGAACAATAAAGGCAAAGGGAAGTCAGAGTATAATAGAGGCCAAAGAACATCTCTCTCTCTCTCTCTCTCTCTCTCTCTCTCTCTCTCTCTCTCTCTCTCACACACACACACACACACACACACACACACACACACACACACACACACACGCACACACACACAGAGGAAAACAATGAAGTAGGGCACGAGCACTCCGTCCAGTATGTGGAAGGTAGCAAATAAGTGAGATAGAGAAGACAAAGTGACAAAACAAATCGTGAAAAAGAGAAAGAAGAAACGACAACAGGAGAGACACTCCTGAGGTGGTGGTGTGGGGCACAAAATCCAGCTTCCGAAGAGAGCGTGAGGGGACGAGAGATAGACTGCCGTCCTCCACCGAGCTCAGTGCGCCCTCATCAGGGTGCGTTTTTTGGATACGGATGACTGCATCCGAAAGGATAATAGCTTGTATACATCCATGTATGTTCATGACTAGATTGCGTTGTGTGCAGGGGAAGACTAATGAATTAATTCTAGCAGATGAAAGTCAATCCATGGTGAAAACGAGGCGGAAAGGAGAATATAAATTCAACAAGAGATAGCTTTCATTTCCCTTTGGTTCTTTTTCCTACAACTTCAGTCAGAGACATTTCTTCTTCTTGTTTTCCCTTTTCTCACCCTTCAAATTTCCGCTATCCTCCTCCCTCCATTTCTCCTCCCCCTCCCAAATCGTCTGTTTCTCACACCGCCCTCCGTTTCCCCGCCGCCTCGACACCGTCTGTGATCCAAAGATCGGGAAAAGAAAAAAAAAAGGATCGCTCCCGCGTCATTCACTCATGCTCGTGATGAGAATACATTCCATATCTTTTTGAGTGCATATGCGAATAGCGTTGGCCTCGCCATATCCTTCTTCTTCTTCACTTTTTCACACTGTCAACAAGAAGATAGACGAATAGATACACACGAAAATATCCATCACCATCATCTTCTCCTTCTTCTTCTTCTTCTTCTTCTTCTTCTTCTTGTTCTTCAATACCCTAGCATGCTTTGCTAAGGCACCAGCGTTCTCAGGGAGCCTTGTTGTGGCTGCCCGAGAACCTGGTACAATGGGTTATAGCACGCGAAAAATTTAGTGGCGGGTGCGGCTCTACTTACGGGATAGTTTGTCTGGTTTACTGCTCAGTAAGAAGGCAGCTACTACCGTCAAAATAGAAGTTAGCTCGTATTTTCCTTTCCTTTACTAGCGGTAGGATGGAATTATTGTCGTTTTGCCCCAGGAATTACGTGGCATTGCCACGGAACCCCACTGCCAGAAAGGCAGCCCAGGTACGATACTACCGGACTACCCGCACATTTCCAAAAGAGCGGGAAATACGGATTCCGGAGTTTCGAATGAGTACAGGGCACGCTGCGTCGGATTTTGAAAGTACAGGTCATTCGCGGACGCATGTGTAACTGACTGGAGTAGGTGGGGATCCGCGACGCACGGATTAGCCCAATGAGAAATTAGAACGGAGGAGGGAGTGGACCAATGGGTGCTCGATAAGTGAAAGAAAGCTTGAAGGAGAGACTTGATCGTTTGGAAGGACTGGTGACAGGGAAAGAGACGTTAGTCACTGCATGGTACCCAGACACGTGAACGTGCGGGGAAAGCTGGCCTGCAGCCTCAGTCGTCGGCAATTCAGACACGTAACGGACACTATAGCGTTCGTCGCAACGTCTAGGTGGCAGTCCAGCCGTAGCCGTAGTAGCTCGTGGAAGTGCCCGTTAGGGGTGGAAGTACCGTGCGGACGAAGCGTCTCGCTTGGCGTTCAGTATATAGGACGGCAAGGCCTGATCGACCCTCAGTTCTCAGAAGGAAGGTGTGATCGGTGGGCCGCAAGGCAAGTGTGTGTGGAAAGCCCCCTGAGGATGATCGGAGCACAACCGATCGGGGAATGTGCGCGTGTGCTGAGACGAGTATGCGCTGTTATGTATTGATGAGCATTCGAAGCGTGTACGAAAGGCAGTTGGCCACTGTTTTCACTATTCTTCTTCTTCCTCGTAGTGTATCTTGTTATTGTTGTTCNTCTTCGTAGTTTGAAAACGTGAAGATGTTGTTGTTGTTAGTCTTCGTAGTTTGAAATAGTGAAGATGTTGTCGTCCGTCTTCGTAGTGTGAAAAAGTGAAGAAGAAGAACTTCGAAGATGTTGTTCGTCTTCGTAGCGTGAAAAAGTGAAGAAGAACTTGTTCACGTTTTCACACTACGAACACAAACAACAACAAGATACACTAAGAAGAAGAAGACGAAGAAGAAGAAGAATAGTGAATAGTGAAAACAAGGGCCAACATTGTTGAATACACGCTTCTCAGAAGAAGAAGAAAGGCACCCGAGAATTCAAAGCGGAGCAGAAAGAAAGATAAAGGAGGAGAGGGACGTAAAGAGAGAATTAGCCACAAAGAAACTTAGTGTCGAAGGGGTGGGCCGGGGGGATGGGAAAGGGAGAGAGGAACTGTGAGCGAGCCATACAGAAAGGGTTACTCCTCACACTGGGTAGGACGTTTTGAAGTCGGAGCTGGACATGATTGCGGTCAGGTGCATCCAGAGTCTGCCGTAATTGCAGTTCGATAAATTTAGGAGAGTCCTAGTGTGAGTCTGCCCTGATTCGACCCGCTCATCTTCATTTACTTCCCCTTTCGTAATCCTTGTCACATCTTTCTCCTTGCCCTAAATTATCGTTTTATTCCCATCTTCTTTCTTCTAACACTGCTTTCCTTCCTTATATTTCTTTTTGTTTTTTTCACTACTCCTCATCGTCCTTTTCTTCTGAGGCTTCAGTTCGAGTTCAAGGAGTTCGCTATCGCGGAGGAAACACATAATCTGCCCGTAATTACAGTCTAAGAGACATCCGACAAAGTCCTAGACGGTAAGTATCTCTCTGAAACGGGAAAATAAGACACTACCGTTTTCAGCCCGGTCATTATAGCGGTATGTGGGGCAACTTTTAAGTTGAGGTATAACGATAATGATTAGGCGTTTTATTCGGGTAAAGACGGTTGTGTGAGAGAGAGAGAGAGAGAGAAAGAGAGACACTAGTGACACAGAGAGAGAGAGAGAGAAACCACACATTGGGCCTCGCTCCACAACAGAGCACTCTACATGCATTTGGACACTTTCTGGACCACGTGCATTCGGACGAGTCCAACATTTTGAATGCATTTGGACCAGAAAGGGTCCAAATGCATTCCGGTCCAAGTGCATGTAGAGTGTTGTGTGGTCGAGCGCGGCCCATTAACATCAGCCAGGAAGACGACTGCATTTCCTCCATCCGACGGTTCTGGCACGTAGAGAATGATTCCATCGACCGGACGGTTCTGCCCACGTGGACAACATTCCGCCAACGTACATGGTCTTCCTTTCTCCAAGACGGAACAATTGTGAGCGCATCTCTCCAACTTGTAGCACAAGATTCACACGCCGTTTTGCGCGTGTGGTGAGGAGTGCATCGAGGTCGATGGTCACGCCAGCGAGGCTGATTGTCACGCTACCGTGACCTCCGTGATCGGACGTCCAAACTCAGAGAAGAAAGAGTGCCTCGCCGCACCACTCACCCTGTCTCTTATACACATCTAGATGTGTATAAGAGACAGCCGCACCACTCACCCAATGTGAAAGAACTGTCTCTTATACACATCTAGATGTGTATAAGAGACAGGAACAATTGTGAGCGCATCTCTCCAACTTGTAGCACAAGATTCACACGCCGTTTTGCGCGTGTGGTGAGGAGTGCATCGAGGTCGATGGTCACGCCAGCGAGGCTGATTGTCACGCTACCGTGACCTCCGTGATCGGACGTCCAAACTCAGAGAAGAAAGAGTGCCTCGCCGCACCACTCACCCAATGTGAAAGAAACAACAGCTATGGCTGATTGTCACGCTACCGTGACCTCCGTGATCGGACGTCCTACCTCAGAGAAGAAAGAGTGCCTCGCCGCACCACTCACCCAATGTGAAAGAAACAACAGCTATGGCTGATTGTCACGCTACCGTGACCTCCGTGATCGGACGTCCTACCTCAGAGAAGAAAGAGTGCCTCGCCGCACCACTCACCCAATGTGAAAGAAACAACAGCTATGGCGGGKGCATACTTAGTGAGAAGTGCGGCAAGGCGCATAGAAGACAAACACCCGAGCGGTCGCGAGCAGAAGAAAGAAACACGGTTATCTAGAGGACTCGAGGACTCACAGTGACACGTGGCGCTGAGAACAATAACAAGGGCGCGCTGAAAGCACTGCCATGTGGACCGTCAGGACAGGAGGAAGGGGCACGGTTGGCGAAGGGTTCGAGGACTCACACAATGACACGTGGTCGATGAGGACAGTGGCGCCGGCGGTGGAAATAGTGACACGTGGACTATAACAGAATTGGCACCCAGCTGAGCTCGGCAGTACCGGTGGCCGCCCGTCGGAAACCTCGCCCCTGTCCCATCAAAGCCGAACACAGTGTGACCAACGGGATACTCTCACGGCGTACTCACACTAGCTCTATCCCAAATGTATCTGACTGCATTTACTTCTGGAACTGTATGCATGTTGCCTCAATTCCGTCCAGAAATCAGTAAGGGAGTGCCAGTGTGAGTATCCCCTCAGTCGGTGCAACCACAAACTGTTGAAAACCAGACTTGACGAACGAAATTCCTGAATTACCTAGGCCCAATCAGTTTTTCATCTTTTTTTCCCCAACCACTAGTACCTCCGAGCCTGTTTTTGCCGAGGCTGAATTTGAGTGCGCCCCTAATTTGCCAAGCCAGTATCCCATGGTACCTTTCCGATTTTATTTTTTTTCCGTATTTGGAAAACGCTGACGTTTCCGGGTGAGGGCGGTGAAAATGCAAGGAAGAGGGGAACCGGCTGTTTACAAATTGGTCGCAGGAGGGGTGACCAAGAGGAAGATGCAAATTGATCCTTTAATGTGGGGCTGGAAGGCAGGAAGCTATACATTATAGGGTGACCAAGAGGAAGATGCAAATTGATCCTTTAATGTGGGGCTGGAAGGTAGGAAGCTATACATTATACGATTGTCAACAACGCTCCTCAGAGCAAGACTGAATCCAAAAGAGAAACTGTATTCCACCTTAATTGATGGGTGGGAGCGAGCCCAACCAGCACTGCATCTACCTACAGAGAGGAAAATCACAAGACTCTGGGATCAACTGAGTCATAG